TGAAGTTTGTTAGTGAACTAGCATTGCGTTCTCCATTATGAATGCACACGAGCGGCTAATTGAGTTTCGTAGCCTCCTACCTCGTTGGAACAGAATAAACAAATCATATATTCAATTCTGATTCACTGATGCAGGACCTGAAACTTTTCTCTTGTCTGCTTCTGTTGGATCTAAGCGTTTTATCTGTGTTGATGAACACGGCTAAGAGCTGTTTCTAAGACACTGCCTTCGAAATGGCACGACACGGGACGCTCTGTTAAGCCAAACTGATTCGACTTCTCATGAAGAGAATCCTTGACTTATTGCTGAAGCACGATTGAAGCCAAAGTTCGTGGAACCTTTTTGGCTCACCCAATTTGTTTGCTAAAGAACCAAGATACATGGAGCATATTAGGGTTTAATTTGAAAACGGGTTAGCGCTTTGTACTAACATGACCCTTGGTGATTAAGATAATCATTCTTGTACCGGCATAGTTGTTATTGTGTGACGACCATTCAAAGAAGTACATCTCCTAGTCACAATGGCGGCTGTTCACTGATGACAATCGGTCCCTCGAGCCCTGGGATATGAAACGACAAAACCACATAAGTACTCCACTGTGCACAACTGGTTGGGTAGTCAGCTGGACGATTGTACAACTGCGGTCTATCCAATTTAAATGGCGTCAGTCAGGTTCGAACCTCGAACGTTAGGATCCAAACAAATCCCATTGAAAGCGTCTTTCCCGTCAGCAATTTATCTTTCTACGATTAGAAGCCATCTACTTTCGAGCGAGATGAATTGTGACTTACCAGTGAAATTGTACGTAACCTCATAAAGAAATGGTCAAATAAAATCAATTTCATTCAAGTAAAACGCTATCAAATACCCTCGAGCTTCAAAGACAAATTTTTCCGGATTTTCTGAAATGTTCGCGTGGATCGGTTTTTCAATAAGCCTACATGTCACCACAATCAGTGGTGTGGGTCACCAGTGTGCAATCATATTATCCAATGCTGAACATTGATTGCACGATGACGACGACGGGAAAGAGGATTATCACTTCAAGTAGGTAGTTGCATATTGGTTACGCGCACTGCGAATAATCAAATAAGTGCAATTCTCATCCCGTTCTTCTTCGCAGTTCCGAAATTACCACCTTTGCGTATTGTCAATCTAATATTCTAATGCTACAATGTTTGTAATATCTGTTGATCAGTAAATGAGGTAGTTAGCTATAAGAGGTAATTTTTCCACTTCAACTCGCAGTTACTCATGAGTAGTAATATGAGACAAGTATTTATGATTTGGACTGGCCATTAATCCTCGTTTTCACGCAAACCCTCAGTGATTGAGGATGCAAGGAAGTAGAGTTTCTTCTGCCTTTTCCGATCCATCTATGACTTGGAATTCGGATCCTTAGCATGAGAGATATGCATATGATCAATGTGCAAACCTTTTGGGTTGATAAGAATCACTCAATAAATGTATTGAAATGTTCTGTTGAACGAAAGTCAGTCAGTCCGTAAAACCCAGCTAGTTAACACGAAGACACAAAAGACAGCTTATTAACTCCAATAGACCCCACCACACACACACACGCACCAAATGGAATCTTCCGTGAGGACACACATCGCTGACTGAACTTATCTGGCCAAATCGTCATTGTCGGAATTCGTAACTGACATTTACTTTTGAACAGTGGTGTGATAGATAAATAAATTTATATTGATTTTTTTATCTCACTTCTTTGATCAATGTTCCATCAGTGTTCATCCACGTGACTGGAAAACATCACCTCCATTTTGTGTCTGGTGTGGACATCAAAGGAATAGACGTGTGTTGTTGATTTTGGAAATGAACAAGGCATTTTTTTAGTTGTTCAATAGGTGAGGGTTAGAACAGTTCGAAATGTTGCGTTGGAAAACTCCATTTCCAAAAACGGAAAATGATATTCCATTTTTGATTCAAAACTGTGCAAGTATTCAAGCGATGAAAATTTACTCACGGTCAGCGCATATACGTACAATGAACATTCAGATTCCAACTTGCACCAAATACTTACCGAATCGTTTCACCTTACCTGGATCCAATTTCGGGATCACGCCGTCCACGCTGCGTTTCGATCGGGGCGTATCTTCAAATCGGTAATAG